TCGGTTAGTGGAGGTGCTTACTTTCGTGCGATGCGCCAGATCTGTTATGCTGGTGTGAGCAAACATGGCACTATCTTGTCACGCGCGCATCAATCAGGGAGCTCGGCCCGGCCCACGCCCCGGCCCGGGACAAATGTTGACTCTTGCCGGCAATTAAGCAAATTTGTTAAAAATCGCCGAGACGAGCGACAGGTTACAAAAGCGCTCCCCGACCTTGAGTGACCAACTTCCGATCGGGAGGGGGAGGGGCCTAGGCGAGCATGCGTGTTCAGCTAACGGAACTTTTTCCATAATGCACTCTCCTCCTTCCGGCGCCGTGCCCTGCTTGCGCGAAATAGAATCATTTTAGTGCAATCAAGAAATTCAACTCTGGGTTACAGTTTCCCACACACAACAATTATCTTCGGAAGTAAGTACAGAAAGGAACCTTTAACATCATAGAGTCAATAGAGCCTGAAAGTAAAAGGTCACGCAGTGAGCTTCCAGAAGCCTCGCGCGATCCGCCTCTGGGGATTTTACATGGGCCGTCTTATCAAATCCTCTAACTTTTGGAAGAATGACTTCTAACTGAAACCACCCCAAGAAACAATCATATCGGAATTTTCCCCTTGTCCTCCTTAAGTAATATTTAGGAAAAGTCACCCGGAGACGGGGAAAAAAACGAATTCCATTAACATCCTTTTGCTTCCGGCAGTATCGTTCCTAGGTCTCCTTGTTCATGCACGTTTGTTTTCATTGACCGTGCTTACGTGGAAACGAGATTGTGGAACGTTGCAAAGATTTGCCTACCTGCAGTCGATGGGTTCCACAGATTTCGTTGAGTTCACGTGACGCATTTCTTGTCAGCAAAGGGTAGATTATACATCAGAATATTTCGTAAAAGCATGTTATTGCCTTATGAAGTTTAAAATCCTTAAGATATTTTGGTCTGGTTTCAATTTGGCTTTTACCGAAAGATTACCATAATCTGTAATTTTGTGATAGCTTTTTTGCATGCAAGACCACCGCACTGCACTGCTCTTCGTGTATTTTGGATTTTCGGAAGGACATTTTTCTTTTAGGTCAGGCCATTTTTCCGTTTCCATAAATTGCTCTGCTAGCAAATATTTAACAAAAGGTCTTTTTAAGAGTAGAGTTGTTAAGAATTAACTAAACGAAAAAAAATTACCAATTCTAAAATTTCTGCACGTTATTTTTCCTATCCAAGGGTTCCGGAAGCGCGCCATCAGGGGTCAACTTTCAGGCTGTATTGCTCTTATAGTCAAAGTTTAACTCATCACCACTAACATTTTCTGAGTTGACTCTAGATCTGAACGAAGTACCGGATTTTTATCTTGTAAACGGAATAAGTGATGAGGGGCCAAACTTGGCGTAATACTATATTCTTGATATGGATTACAAACCGACGGGTGAGCAGCGCACGTGGGATTCTGCCTCCTCCATTGGACGTTGCTTTCATATTTCATCGCGTCATTTTTTGGTTTGGTGTTATTCATTACGGCTAAGCCTATTATTCCTGACTTCAGTCATGCATATTGTCTATGAAACGATAGCAGGCCTATCTATGATTTACAGGCAGTCAGAGCCAGACAATTGCCCATCAGGTAATCTGTGGAGCTTAAAAAGCCTGGAATCGGTAATGACGCATGAACGAGACGTATAACTGTATTTTCCTATATAGTTGGCTATATAATAATAACACAACTGCCCAAACTAACGGAGCAGCTCCTTAAATCATGCACGCCGACGCCATAGCTTGCGGAATATGAAAGAAAAGATACTTAAACCGCATACGTTTTAAAAAAAGACTTATGCAATATTACAGACAAATATAAACAACGTTTTCCTGTGATACCATTGGCGGGAAATTACTCTTATTTAGCCTCTTGGCAAAATGTTGTTTTCGCCAGTGTCTTTTTTCCTGTATGATAACACGCCGGCAGAAATCAACGGTAAGGACAGCGCTCGGTCATTGCTCGTGACGGCTTTTCAACGCAAAATGCCGTTGATTGTGAACTCTCACAATCATCGATATAACACAAACATCCAAAGTATTGAGAAAAGCAGCAATGGCAGACGAAATTGCGCGGGAAAAAGTCCTCATTGTCCGGGAAAAGTGCACGAGGCGCGGTATCGCTCGCAATTGATGTCAAATCTGTGTGCATTGGACGCGCTAAGTCAACAACGGAGCATACCTCTTTCAAAAACGGAGCTGTGCCCGACAGCGCAAAATATATACCCAAACCTCTCAATAGCATTCACGCTAATTAATTCGCGGCTGAACTCTTTCCAAGAGAGGCATTTGCAAGTCTAGTCAGGCCGGGCGTGTGAGATCTTCACAGGCCGCTATCATCAGGCAGATTAAAGCGGATTTCGTTTCCCTTATCTCCTCTGTGCCGATATTCGCTTCAGTCCACCCCCTGAGTGGGAAAATCAGTCTCTTCCAGGCAAAAAAAGTAGAGATAAATGTACTGAATAGATCGAAAAGAGGAAAGAACAGAACAAGTGGGATGGAAGAAGTGATCGGATTGTAGGGGGAAGGGGGGATTCAAAAGGAAAAGAGGGCGGTTAACTTGGGCAAGGCGCGGCCGGGCCTTAAAGCCAGTAGTATACACACGTGCGCGTTAACGGAATTCTGCGCTGTCAAAAGTGTAGATCACATGGTTTTGTAGTTTTCTCATTCAAAGCGGACAAACCGCGCAGTCGCTCGATAAACCGCTGCGTTTAGAAGCCAGCGTGATCTTCCCACAGATAACGCACTGAGACCACACGTTCTGGCCAGTCAGCGTTCTCGTTGGGTGTGACGTCACGGCCTCGCTGCTACGTCATTGTTGTGGAATATTATCAACACAAACACCAAACCGATTTCCACCTACGTGTAAACGTAAAATATCATGCGACATTATCGCTTTCTGATCTTTCTGTTACCGCGTAGAGTGCGCTTGTTAAAAAAGGGCCGTCATGAACTCCATCTTTGTGTATTTCTAGTTATCAGTTAACTTGAAATATTTTCAGTAAAGATTTCTCCAAATGTAGACATTGCATGCCCAAAGCAGTTCATTCCCCGTAAGTAATGAGGAACAGAAAATTTCAAGTAACGACAGAGTACGGGTAAATCTTATGACGTAGCACGAACGGAACTTATCCCTGTTAACATATAGAAGACTCTCATCACCGTGGATGCTACTGTGCCAAAACTTGCAACAATTATTCTTCGCTGTCGGTTTGTGAACGTGTTGAAATACTAAACATATTTGATTGATATCGTATTCGGCAATACTGAATATTGATGTTTAGGAATCGGTTACGTAATGTTTAACTGTGCACATGTAGAAAGGGACATCTGGGTTACTTTGAATTGTTTAATACATTTTATGATTGAAATCTACTCAAGAAATATCAAATTGTCAAACAGTAAACGACTTCATTTGCCGTTGAAAAAGTAAAAAAAAATCAGTTGTGTCATATTGTGTTTTCTGTAAACCAAAGGAAGAATTGCTATACCACGGTTTTCAAGTAAATAGATAATTGATGTTGAGCGAGAAATTACTAGGTTTGTTTGAAACATAATACACAGATGATGTCAAGAGTAAACTGCAGCTTTCCGCTTTTGTTCAATATCGAACGTATATGTCAACTGTCCGCAGTCCCCAAGTAACTTCGTCTGTACTCTCACCCAAAGTCAACAATTGACAATTCACATTTACAAGTGAATTCACAGTCAAGGGCCGTAGAAGATTGACAAGAGAACAACCACAGCGACAGCAAGGCAGAAGATAAATTCACAAACAGTTGGTAGAGGCGGGAATTCTTATTTGCATCTACGAGGCAAAGCAGGTTAATTCAAATAATGGGATCATCCCAAAGTATAAGTAGGAGACAAAACTTTGCCTATAATATGTGGGTTGACTCGAGGGGAGACATTCCGTCTATTAAGGCATAGGTCAACCTTTAAAAGAACTATTCTGCACCACACCGAATTCTTGTCTAATAATTATGCTGCCTTTAAAGCTCAACTGACATTGGTGATAACCTCGTCATCACTTTGAATCACTGAATTCGTTATGGCACTCAACAGTTGCTCTGCGCGCCGCGGGTCCACAATGGGCCCACACAGCTGAAATCGGTGCTGCTGCAGCCTATAGCCACAGTGTTGAATTAACTTTGTGCGCTCTCTCTATTACCTCAACAATGTCACAAGATGGAATCACATTGTACCTCAACATCGTGTGTTTGCGGTATTCAGACTATCGCTTTACGGCACGGCATCGGGGACCCAATCGCAATCGTAGCTGAGCAGGTGCTCAAACAAGATATCGTCCGTTTACTTTGGAATGGTTTGTCAAAACAGAGAATTTAATATCAGTAGGCCTAGTATAAATGTATCTGTGCTGCCAAAGATATACAAATAGAATTTCAGCACAAAAGAAAACTCTTTGTCAATTATTTGGAAAACAGTGTCAGCATTTGAAGAGTACGCTGTCACTCTTCAAAACTAGCATTAATATAACAAACACGGGTATTTAAAATTAAAATTCTCAATCAATCGTTCAGTTTTAAACCTCTTGTAAATTGGCAATTTTCGGCAGTGCGGCGCAAACGACCCTTTTAAGTTTATTGCAACAGTACATGAAAGCCAGATTTTGGAAATGTATTGTCAATGATCAAAGTTCTAGGATGACAACTGACGTGCAATTGCTCCTGGTGCTGATGCCTATTTTTTTCTCCATAATTAATGTACATGTACAGTATCCTCATCCACTTGATTACAAGCAGATTGTGTACGAGCAGCGTTATGTGTCTGGCAACACAGTGTAATTGCATTAATGCGACAATCAAGGCCCCATGAACGCATGAAAGCTCAAAAATATTAGCAGCCAACACTCAGTGACTATTCAAATAGCCACCCAGCACCGATGTACCGCGCAGCCGCAGTGGCTTTCCAAACAGGCGCCTTTTTACCCGCGCAGCACATAGCCTGCCAGTCTTTGACGTGAATAATGCGTGCATGCTGCCACATAGCCCGGTTCGTCGAGTCAGCGACCATTCGAACTATCAGCAGTAGATAACTGATGAACTCCCGTCTGCCACGCCGTGTGGTTGTTTTCGGGCTGCAAAGCTTGTCTGTTTACTCTCAAAATGTTCTGGGAAGGATACGAACTTCATGCGAAACGACTAACATACCTACTTGAGTGCGTCGGGGAGAAAGAGTTGCCCCTGAATTGATGACTTGACAGCCATTTCCTCTTCTAGCATGCTCACAGCGATAGGTAAGTGTTCAAGGCACTTACAGACTTCGCGTTTGCACCCTCAAACAAATGCGCCTCTTGACATCAGCGGCGGCGGTATTTAGCACAGGTTCAACGGAAGTATTTTCAAGTTCTTGCTCAAAAACGCGTACGTGATTTTTATTTTACTGTCGTTGTTATCAATTTTAAAGGGAATATTTCTAAGCAATCTTGTCGTATTCTTGTTTTCTTTCATCAATAATGCCTTACCTAAAGGTATGTACGGTACTGTTTTGACCCGAATCTCTTCATCAGTTATTCTGTATCTGATTCTTTTAAAACGCCAAATATATGATCCTGTTTGTCCTATTCTATGAATGGTGGTTACAAGAAGCTTTCGAATCTTTTGCAGGTTTTTAGCAGAAATCAGCTCTTTGGTCTAGGAAGGATCTAACAAATATCAAATTTTAATATTGGTCATCCTCGCTTTGTTGCTATTTTAAACTAAATACATAAAAACCTGGACATGTTCGGTACGTTTGCCACTGTTAGATTCGCGATCTAAACATGTCAATAAACGAACTGTTGGTGGTCAGTCAGATGGTTGCCGCCACCACTGCACATACGCATGCATTGATTTATTAATTCCTATGTCGATTTTTTCCCATTTCAGTGCATGTAGGAACATATGCTCCTCTATTCGTCAAGTGCAGGATTATTTGTAGCGCTGACAGCAATTACAAAAAGTACAATGCAAATTTTAAAAACCATTGTGAGCACATGCTATTTAATATCCCGATCCATGGTTGCTCCGCGAAGCGCGCAAAGGTTAAAAATGCTTGTATCCACACGACCTGAAAGTGCCCGTGATAATTAAAAAAAACCCACAAACACAACACACACAGTTGCATTATAATGTGTAATAAAAACCACACGTCTTATTTGTTGGGTATTAATGCGATGTGGTATTTTCAGCCACAACACCCAATACATGTGTAAATATTTGCTTCAGTATATTATTCTGCGATACATTAAACGAAGAGGCAGAAAATGGACAAAAATTATTCATGTGTACAGGTGTATTAAAAGGCTGCGTGGTCAAGTCAGTGTTTTGTTTAGCGATGATCAAACATGCATCATTAAGGTTTCTTTGTTTCACATTATGAAGTATAGGCTTTATGTACAAACTAACTCCCATACGCTATCACTCGGACACGTATGCTTGTATTAACAAGGTACCCTCCGTAACAATACGCGGATGTAATTTGTGTAATGAAATGGTACTAAGGATACACACAATTCCAAAAACGTGGAAATTGGGGAGAAAACCCAAAACCTGGAGGAAAACATCTTGCTGAGCAATCTTGTTTGTTTTCAACTTTCCAATCTACGACCGATTTCGTCTCGGTACATACAATTTTCTGATTAATCCTGTGACGATGAAAGCGCAAGGGATTCTTGCCGCGTCCCCTGACGTTCGGCAAGCCTGCGAGATTGCCGAAGCTCGCTGTTCCTTTTCTTTGACGTTCGTCTCTGCATGCACATTCCGTGCGAGCACTTATTTGTGAACCCTGTGCAAACAAAAGCTTTACCCGCGAGCCACAGGTCGAGAACCGGGAAATCGTCGGTGAGAGGATGGCATGTCTCGTGTCAAAATTCGACACAATCCCCAATTTCCATGCCGCACATGAACGATGACATGAGATGATGTATGATCATTAAGTTTTGCTTTGGTTTCGAGAAAACCTGATAACTATGCAGAGGAGGCGTCTACATTTTGAGGGAAGATTGGGTTTAGTGGAAACGTTTTGCATGTCAAATGATTCACGACAGGATGAAAGGGAGAAAAGCCCTTCCTAACAATAACAGAAATAAGAATTTCTTGGTACAGGTCCATCTGAAACACTAACAAAAAGACTGAGAGATTCAATAAAACACCAAGAAATTCAAACCATAATGTGCATTCGACCCCCCCATTTTATCTCTGCTAGATAGCACATAAAGTTGGGCATTAATGTGTGTGATAAAAAATTGTGGCATTCATGGCTTCGTTCTAAAGAAATACCCCCCGATTCTTATTTAGATTTCATGAATGATCTCTCAGCCGAAGACTTTTTGTCTCAGAGCATGAAATAATTCACTACCAATCGGTAATATTGAAAGAGACAATGAGGGAGTGTGGTGTCTTTAGTGCCGTCTTCAGCACTCACTCTCAGTGTATGGATCGTAAAGAAAAGCGCGCGGTTATTTGCAGGGGTTCGCTCATTCTCACTCATTGCGTTCATCTTGAAGTCTTTTAATGACCTTTGTCTTTGTCTATATATCTAATCTGAAACCCAAATAGACCTGCTGAAGATCACAGGGCTCACACAGCACTGCAGGTAACTCAGCACTGTAAATGTGCTTTCGTTATATTCATCACATATTATGAATAGTCATCATTATTTTGATGAGTTTTCATGAACCAAATGCTGTGTTTTTACAACCTTAAGTGCTGTCATTCTATGATATAATCGAAAATCAAACGATTAAAAGACTGAATATTTCGCCTCGTGGAATTACTTGATTTGCCTTGCACGCGGGTGACATTTGTGTGTGTGTGCGTTCGCGACGTGCGTGCAGTTCAAAGAAAAACAGTCAATCATTCAGTGGCCGAGGAGCGCGTCGCTTTGGACTCGCTCAGACTACAATAAGGGCGCTGCGCGCAGCGTTGGAACCCCCTCGCACCGTGTCTGTCTGCAGTTCGCCGGACTGGGATCGTTTCAACTCAATTGTACCCGCAGATGGCCAGTGCGAAACAAATCCGAGAGATTATTGCTGGAAAAAAACTTCGACCTCTTAGCTGCGTCGCTCTCCCGCAGTGGCGACTTGATATAAACCCAAAGTGCAGTGCACCGGCTGTCACTGCAACAACCTGACATGCGAAATGAAGAGGATCAAAATTACCGACCACTGGGAGATTTGGGAAATTGAAGAGGGCTCTTGTTTCAGACTACACCAAAAACTATCAAATCATAAGGGAATATCACCACTTGAGAGTGTTTTCGTTCCTTGCGAGGGACGAGTAAAAGTGCAGTTTAACCATATGCTTTGGCGCGCTTGTAGCATTTTTTCAGAGAAATGCGCTTGCCAACAGAAAGGAGCATTCGGAATGGCGAGTGGCATAAATCTATCCCTTAACCCCCCCCCAAAAAAAAAAAGAAAAAGGAAAAAAAACAAAAACAAAACCAAAAAGCAAAAAAATAAAAAAAAATAAAAAAAAAACCACCCCAAAACCCGAATTAATTACAACGGGGAAAAGCATTTATAGGTGCTTGGAACTTACAAGAACTTAGGATTATGCAGGCAAAATTAATTAAGAGACCTCTGTCGGTTACAACACCATTTTTTCCAGCCGAGTGGATTCCTATTTACTTTGTCCTGTACGTGTGCGTTATCTTTTCGAAGTGGCTTTGACATAATTTTTCATTGTTCTTTAGGCAGTTAAAGCCAAAGTAGGGATCCATTCAATCTTTATGACGCTAAAAGCCTTTGATATACACCCATTACTTTCTCTTTTGTAACTAAAATCGTATCTTCACTTGGCCTAAGTTGAAACCCGTACGCTATTAATTTTGAACCCAGCACATGAGAGGGTCATGTTAACATTATCCTATGATAAAGCCTTCCACTCACTAGAATATTGTGTACCTAAGGGCAGCACAATAAACTAACTTACAGTAATACAGAAGTGTTGATCAAGGGGACGAATAAATTAAATTTGCAATTTAATCAACAGCTATGCAATCAGGGTATGCCCGGCTCATGTTATTGCACGTGGCAGTACGAGGATGCATAGAAATGGCTCAGGCAGCTTTAATTTCAGAGTTCCCCGCGCGTGACCTTACTCTGCAATTCAAATTGGGTTGATGCTTTAGCCGTGAGATTTTCACCCCATCCTAAACCCCACTGGCAAAAATGGTGGCCCCTTGTCCAGGGTGAAAGGTGTACGTAGTTCACCCGTTAATACCGGGCCAAATTTGGCTATGATACATTCACAGGTCCTCTGTCACACACAAAGGTCATGATTGACCGGACTGTTACGCGTGAAGATCGAAAAAGTTCCGCGACACTTGATGACCTTATACCGTAATCAAGCAAGCGCGTCACAGTTACCATCTGGGCAAAGCTGCGCGTCCACCAGTAAGCATTTTTGGTCACAGTATAAGGCTGAGATAGGCAACGATAGTTCCAAATGATGAGAGTTTGTAAAGGCAAAGGATTGCCACCAAGTCAATCAACATCAAACGCCTCCCAGCAAATTACCTGAAACAATAGAACAATGTGTAAACATGATCGTTGACTGTGCATTAAGAGTAAAAGGCAGTACTGTGTACTTTTCACGTTCTGGGAAGATAAAAAATACATAAACCCAAGGGCACAAGGATACCTGAAAAGGAGGCAGCGGCGTTACCAATATTTCTGGCTTGTCTTTCACACCATACAGATGGACTCACTCTGTAACTCAAGCTTTGCGGAAAAACGCCTATGTGATACAGGCGGTGGTTGTGTGTATGTCAGGAGTAGGCCTACAGTGAAATTACCAGTTTTTTTCGAATGTGAGCAACTTGAAACAAATTTTTCTCGAAGAAAAAGCAAATTTGAAAGATTAGAATTAGTTTCCTTCGTTTAAAAAATGTTGACGTTTCCTTTTCGTTGGTTATGGAAACATCATTAGCCAGTCTAACTGCAATTAAAAAGAATCCTAATTGACATTATGGACCCGAGTTCATCAACGACTAGTTACCCAAGATCAACTTTGCATCAATGCGGTTGGTTGCGCTGGTTCATCCGGCCCTCGAAAAGCCGGACAATATTTACATTAGTGGATAGAATATTGATTCGAATACCGCAGTCACACTTTCGTTTATTGCGGGATGTACAATATGTACGCCGTTCAGCGTTCGTGTTGGCACGCTTTTGAGCGACTGTTTTCCTAGGTGTTGGGCCGTTTACCTTGGGCAGTCGGCGCGTGCGGTAATTAATTGTATGGGTCCTTCTGG